AGGAAGATGAGCCCTCAGCTACCAAAACCTTCTCATTGCTCACCTGCATGGGCACAGATCACTGCTCAAATATTGATTTGCTATTTACTTAGGAAAAGGGAAACACCAGCTGCAAGACAGAAAAAAGCTTTGACATCACTTCCATCCTTCCCTCTGCCTTTTTCCTGATTATCCAGGCAGTCCAGTCTCTCCCCAGCAAGGACAGCAGCTAAACCATCACACTGTATCCTCCCTGAAGGCTGGAAAGAGGGAGAAAGAGAGATCTTTATGTACATGCTAATTATATCACTGCATTGCACATTCATGCTCTTCTGATACTTGCACTATAGACTAGAATACAAAGTTTAGGAATTCCTGGGGGCTGCCTCTGGATGCATGGCACCCTTGGCTTATGTCTTTGGACAAATTAAACATTTCCTCTTTTATTTTGCTTATTTGTCAAAAGAAGATAATAATGTTTAGCCATCTTAACAGCAATGCTAACACTGCAAAAGCACATTGTATAACCTTGATGGAAGCACCATAGAAATGTGCTGTTCAGCCTCTCCGTGTCCATTATGCATGAAAATATCCCATTTTTTCAGTTGATGCACAGAGAAAGTTGGTCTTAAACCTGAGGTGTTATCAGTGGTTTAATTTAGCAACTACTGTAGTTTAAATTAACCACAGCTCCACTTGAACTGCTCAAGCAGATTTAAAAATGGAAAGATTAAAAATAAGAAAAGCCCAAAAATTACCAGCAAAGGCACAAGGCCAGATTGCTGAAGCTGGACCGGCAGGGACCAGCCCTCGCTCTCGGCTCTGTGCCTGCCTTTTAAATTGCTTTAAGGAGGGCTGGTGATGGAGACAGAGCCAGCTTTTACAGTGGCAGCCCAGCTGGGGATCAACACTGTAAAAACAAGCACATAAAGCTCCAAATCAAATGGTGCTCGTAAGGAAAACATTCCGGGGACGAGCAGCCCCGGCAGAAGGCATCCCTGGCTCGGAGCTGCTGCCTGGCTGATGCCAGCCCTCTCCCTGCTGGAGGAGCTGGGCTGAAATCAGGATGGAATTCAGCCCCCGAGCCTCTCCAGAGGAGCCCTCCTCACCGATAGCGAGCTCACAATTAAAGGGAAAAGGGAAGGGGCAGCAGGGAGCTCAGCCTAGCACCTTTGCTGCTATTTCTCTTGCTCTTTTTCTGGGATTGCAGCGGTGTTTGCTGCCAGGAGATGCCTTTTCCATCATGTCGAGCTACCTCCAGCATCCCTTTGAGCCTTTGGGGCTCTGTTTGTCCAGGGGTGATGTTGGCACACAGTCCCCACTGGAGCACGGAGCAGGTCTGAGGGCTGATGCTCCTGCACCATAAACACCAGAATTAATATTCCTGGGGTCCACAGCAGGTACTGCCTTGAGGGAACCAGTTTCAATCCCAGATTTCGGAAGCACAGCTCCCCTGGGCAAGGAGAAAGAGACTTTCCCCCTAAAAACCTCTGCAGCAAACTGGGCACTGGTGTCCTGCATGCAGGGCCAAATCCATGCTGATCCAGCTGCTGGAAGCATCAGTAATTTTTCCTCTGCAGTAATTACTCTGTAAGCCATGGAAAACCAGGGAAAACCCAACCTTTTCCTCTTAATGAGTGCCCCTGCCTGGCTTTCCATCAATACAACAAGAGGAGCTCTCTTTGTTCCATTTACCACCATTGATGTTCTGTTCCTTGTTGCATTCCCCGCAGATCTGAATAGAGATCTTTGCTCATTGTTTCCCCTACAGACTTCTGGACAGAGGGGAGTCATTTACAGAAAATCAAAAGCCATCCCAAGGCACAGGTGTGGTCTGGGGACAATTTTCTAGAGAAATTGGAGCTATGGGGGTGATGAGGATGGGAGATGCTGGGAGGGGCACTGCACTGCACCTCCCCAGCAGAATGAGTTTTATAGGAGGAATAATCCAGCATCAACCCAGACACTAAGGAAGATCCATGCCTATAAACACCTATGTCTCTCCTTCTGGCTTGATTGCAGTTTTAGCCAATTTACCCTGATGAAGAGGAGTGTTTGGTACAAACAGTGGTGCTGACAAGCACATGGTGGCAGCAGCAAGTGCCAGCCAGTGAGGAAAAGCAACCCCAACAGCCTGATGGTGGAAAGCTGAGCAGCTCCAAAACCCAGCTACAGCTTGTCCCCTCTGAGCCACAGCTCCCTTCATCTTCCCTGGTTTGTAGCGAGGAGAGAAGATTAACAAAACAAAGCAAGTAAAAATTCCTTTTGCTTCCCACTGTTGGCTTCTAGACAGGCAGGGTTAGTGGAGCAGAGCAGAAGTGAGCTGCCTCTGTCCCATGGGGGTGGTTGCCATCCATGACATATTTTCTCGTGGTCTCAAATGGAGAGAAAAGATGTTTTCCAAGCTACATAGCAGCAATATGCTGATCTTGCTTGAACATCTGGAATAGTTTTGAATGACTGCTTTAATTGAGCATAGCAGCAATTATAGAGTTATTTCATTTCATAGGTTTTGAAAGGGTTTTTCTTTTTCCTTGATGACTTACAGGAGAAGACTAAACCCCATAAATTGTAGGGCTCTGTTGGGCTGCCATGCAGGAGGACCTGGTCACAGTCCAGCCCCAGGCAGCTGGAACAGCTCAGCAGCCTAAATCTGGGTGCATCACTAATCCACCAGCCAGTTCCTGCTTTAAACTTTAACCATTTGAAATATTTAAGGGCTTTTTTCATCATTTTAGCAGTTAAGATTATTCCAGGACAAGACTGCCCTCTCTTCTCTTGGGGTTCTTTGTGATGTTGGTGAAAAAATAATTTCTATGCCATGATGTGGCTTGAGAGTGAACTGAGTGAAATCAGTCATCTCTCTTCATTTGAGGAATTCACTAATTTTTCCAGTGTGGATGTGAATTCCTCCAGTAAAGGAGCACATGCTGCCCTTCCCAAAGCCTTCATCAGACACCCAGAGACACGATGATGAAAAACTGGGCTCCCAATCCCCCTTAAAACACAGGACAGGTCTTCCCATGCCAGAGCATGACCTGGTGATGGCACCAAGGACCAGTCTGAAGCTTTGGTGCCTTCATCCCACACCATCCTACCTCTTCTGAAGGCCCAACTTCATGACTAGCTTAAGTCAATTTAGTGCAAACCCTAGTGTAGCAATCCAAGTCTTTCAAACTCAACTGAGAGAAGCCACAAAGTTCAAGAAGAATAATTAAATAAAGGATGGGAAGTGGGAAGCACAGTAAGACCTCTTTTCCAGCCCATAATCCAGAGGTGCCATGCTTTGGATAAAAGGATGAATTTTGGGTGGTTTTTCTTTGAGTTGTTGTTTTTCACACGGCTAAAACACATTCCTGGCAAAGCAGAACCACTGTGGGGGTGCCAGGACAGGAGCACCTTGCCCTGAGGAGAAAAGGGGGCTCAGAGGGGACCTTATTGATCTCTACAACTGCAAGGATGCTGGAACCAGGGGGGATCAGTCTCTTCTCCCAAGTAACAAGTGACAGGACAAGAGGAAATGATCTCAGGTTACGCCAGGGGAGATTTAGATTGGATATTATGAAAAAATTTCTTCATGGGAAGGGATGTCAAGCACTGGAACACACTGCCCAGGGAATTGGTGGAGTCACCACCCTTAGGGGGATTTAACAGATGCAGAGATTTGGCACTTGGGAACATGGATTAATGGTGGGACTTGATAATCTCAGAGGTCTTTTCAAAGCTAAACAATTCCATGTTTATTCCATGGGGGCAGACCTGCTGAGCTCTGGCTCAGCTGCCTTCTTCCAAAACAAACCTTCCTTTAAACCAGAAAATAAAACCTCACCTGTGAGCCAGCCCATCCCACAACCAGCTGACTCCTTGAGCAACCCAAAAGCCAAACCCAGGTTTTATTCTCAACACAAAGATCCACATTTGCTCAGGAGCAATAACAATTTCTCATTATTATTCCTAGCTAGAACGTGCAGCCTTTAAGCCTGTGGTTGCTCGAGGTAAAAAATCAGCACAATTTGAACAGTGATCAACCAAAACATAAAATGAATGCTGTGTTTCATTTAATAAACTTCAGCAACACAAGGCTGCCTTGTGGACACAATGTAATTAGTTTTGGATGTAAAAATGGAAAAAAAATAAGTGTTTTGTCTTCAAGGCAATTAAAAAAAAAGAATATTTCTGTATTGACAGGAAAGAAGCTGCCAGGTAAAAATTCATATTTGATAAACTATTTTTCCTGTTCCCTTGTATTAGCTAGTGGGTTGTCAGTTCTTCTTGGTTTGCTCAAAGTCAGAAATCATCACGTGTCACCTGGAAGTCACTGCTGCTGGTGCTATGAAAACCACACAGTTTGCTGAAGAATAGCAGAGAGGGAGGGAGGGAAGAAGGGAGGAATGGCAGTTGCTGATTTTTTCTTGAAAATATGAAAAATGAAAAATATTAAAATATGAAAAAAGCACAGAGAAAGAGAAAACCAAGATAAGGCCATGATTTTTGATGAAATCCTAGAGCACATGGGTTCAGGCAAGATAATTTAGAAGCATTAAAAATGGCTGCAGCTGGCCATGCTGTTGGTCACTCACTCTCCAGTGGAGCCCACACTGCTCCTGCTGAGCTTCTCTCCCAGTCTGCCTCAACTACAGGCTTGGAGTCACACTTGGTCCCCACCAGGGCCCAGTGTGCCTCGGTGGCCACCAACACTTCACAGCTACATGTAGCCATCATCACTTTTGGTAGCAATTAAACCACGTAATGAGAATTTGGAGGAAATCGAGTTCTTGCTGTTTGTAGCGCTGCAGTAATGACTGAGGCTAAACCTGTGTGAACACAAAGGAGGGCAGTGCATTGCTGTTGTACAAAACGACTGAGGGTGCAGAAAGGAGATTTCTCCACAGCAGCAGCAGCATTGGTCAAAGCAAAGCTCTGCCAGCACCAGAGCCCAGCAAAAAACTTGAGGGGTCCCTTTGGACTCTCCCTTCTTTCCTTGCTGTTTCAGTCCAAACCTCTGTTCCCCTCTCTTGCAGGGATGGAGACGCGGCCGCAGCCCTGAGGGTGCTGCTGACCCTGTCCGTGGCGCAGCTTTGCCCAGCCCAGCACCATGAGTGGCTTCCTCTCGCGGCTGGACCCGCGGCGGGTGCCCTGGGGCGCCGCGGGCCATGCCCTGCGCGCCCGCGTCCTGCGCACCAAGCCCGTGGAGTCCATGCTGGAGGGCAGCGGCGCCGCGGCCGCCCAGGGCGCCCGGCTGGCCAAGGTCCTCACCACCCTGGACCTCATCTCCCTGGGCGTCGGGAGCTGCGTGGGCACCGGCATGTACGTGGTGTCCGGCCTGGTGGCCAAGGAGATGGCAGGGCCCGGGGTCATCGTGTCCTTCATCATCGCTGCCGTGGCATCCATCTTGTCAGGTGGGTTTTGCGTGGGTTTTTGGGGAACGTGACGTGTCCTGCATCCTCTCCGCTCATGGGTGCACACCTACTCAGCACCACGAGCTACAAAGAGGTAGCACCATCCCCACCAACTAAAAACCATTTCCCTCAGATCTCACACAGCTCATCGGGTGGCCTGTCCCTCGTTGTTCAAATTTCAGACCAAATCTTGTACTGGGAGCCAGCAGCCAAACCTGATTATCCTGATGAGCTGCCAATGGCTTCCACAAGGATGGAGCCTGTGGGCAATATTTATGAGATTATTGAGAGTTTTGAAGAGTGTGTCCTAGGTCAAGAGTGTGGCCAAGCCACAGGGCTGGAGCGAGTGCTTGTGGGAAACTCAGTTCCAACAGGAAGGATGTCAGTGGCTTGGGCAGTACCAGGGCCAGCTTCTTTTGTTGGCATGGCTAGCAGTTAAAAAAAAATTCCTCAATTAGTTCTGGAGTTGATTTCATTGGCTCCCATTCATGCAGGGTCAGTCTTTGAATTCCAAAAAAAAAACAACAAACCAAACCAACAAAAAAAATGGGCAGGGAGAGAGAAATTACCTATTTTAGTGAAAACACAGTGACTTCTATCTCCTCTCTAGGAACCCAGCTGAGCATATGGCTCGAGCTGCAGTTTCTCCATGAAGCCAGTACTGCTGGCATTTGTCCTTTCCAGATCAGTGCTAACACGATGATGTGATGTTCCTGCTCTATCTGCTCAGAGGACTTTTCATGCTGTGTCAGTCTGGTATCCAGCTTTTGTCTGTGGGTTGGATAAGACAACCTGAGCAAATGGCAAAGGGCTTTGAATAGAAGACAGGAGAGCCAACACAGCAATGTGACCCAGATCAGCTTTTCAAAACTCTGGGTTTTTGTCATGAGAGGTGGAAGCACATTATGGTTTTTCCCTAGAGTTTGCAGTGCTGTTCCATGGAGATCCCACCAAAGTGAGTAGGAGTTTGAGCCCTTCTACAGCCCAGAGACACAACCCTGACACAGCCCAGGAATGATCCTCAGGCTCTCTCCAAAGCCCACAAAAAGAGACAAAAGCTTGCAATGGGATTCAATGCTTATTTGGATGCCCAACACAACAAATGAACCAAAATGCTTGTTTTTTATCCTAGGCAGCAGTTAGCATTGGTGTCTCTCCTTTCCCACTGCCTGCTTTCCCTCGTCTGCAAAGGTTTTGTTGGCCGTGATGCAAACCAAGAGCAAACGGAGCTTGGGTGGGTCTCTGCTAACAAAAACACACTGTCCTCCAAAAGGGGTTTTTTCACCCCAGACTTGAGCCTTGACCCACAGCAGGAGCTCCTCCCGCCTTTGCCCACAGGAGCCTGCACCGCTTCCCACTCTGCTTTCATCTCCCCTTGCTTTTGTAGCCCTGGGAAAGTGTTTTGTGAGGGATGCAGTGTTTTGATAGTCTCCTTGGCTGCTTCCTCACTTCATCGTTAACGCTGCTGTTGTTTGTAACAGCAACACCTTTTTGGCAAGTAAAACCAAGTAAGATTTCAGGAGCTGGATGGGCTGTTAGACTCCTTGGGGATGTGATTTCAGCTCTCCCATTGTGGTCACGCCTAGTGTGCCAGGCACTGAGTTTGGGCAAGTGCACAAACAGATTTTAAGGAACTTTTACTTTGTCCATCACAGATCACCAAGTCAAACCCCACTGCTTGCAAAAGCGATCCCAGAAAGGTTTTGGATTTAAAAAAACCCCAAAAACCAGACAAACCAAAATCATCCAGAAGGTTATCTGGCTCCCCAGGGAGACAGCCATAGGGAAACCCTGACATAGGGAAGCCTCTTTGCACAATTAAGCCTGGCTTCAGAAAGGGACTTTTCCAATTTCATCTACTCAGCAAATTCTATTTACTATGTGTTGCCTTCCATAGTTTTAAGCAATACATCAGGGCACTTACAAACACACTATAATTGATTAAACTGATAAATTAAGTCAATCTCTTTCATTTTCTCACTAGAAGGCCTTTCATTCATCTCTCAAGTAAGAATGCTTGCCCACCTTCCCTCCACAAAGCCTCCAGTGCACTTCAGGCTCCTGCAATCAGCCGCAACTGTCAGCATTCCCCACTTTCACCCCTGTTTATCCAAAACCCCCCTTAGCAATAATCAGCAGTTTGCATCTCACCCAACCCCACCACCCTCTCCACAGCCTTTCCCACCAGCCATTTCTTGTCCCTTTAGTGACCTTCTCTCCTAAAGCAATAACCTTCTTTGGAGCACAGAGCCACACTCTTACCTGACAGTGGTACAGGAGCAGGATCAGCAGCAGCCAAGATGGAACAGGGCAGAGCTCAGCACGTGCCTCAGGTGCTGCTGATGAGGGCTGGGCTGAGGGGCTGAACCTGCCTGGGTGGAGCTGGAGAGATGGGAATCCTTGCTCTGTGGAAGCTTTCTTCATGGAGCTTCATTTTATATACCAGCACATGGTGATCATGAAGTGCAGTGGACAGGCTCAGTGGCTTGATGAGAATAATCCTCAATAAGCTGGCTGCTCTTGGTTGATGAAAGATGGTCCCTTTGGATTGCTTGTGTGGTAGCATTAATTATTCAGAGTTACCTCCAGAGCAGCTGAAAATCCCACTCAGAAGTTATTTTTCACCTGAATCACCACTGCCATCATGGCAGTGCCCTGTGGGATGTCTCGTGGTTCCTGTGGAGCCTTGTGCCAAGCATCAGTGGCAGGGTCAGCACCCACATCACGGCCACCACCATGCCAGCACACCAAAAGCACCAGTTCTCATGCCACCAGTTGTCCTGCCCAGTGGCTGTTCTGTGGATGGGATCCTGGAAGGACCAAGACCACTCAGCTGTGTTTATGTCCTGCTGAACAATGTCAGTAACTGTATAATTACACAAGAGTAATGACTGTCACACCAATTGCACAAGTGGAGCAGATATTCAAGGAAAAGAAATGATCCTCTGTAGAATGCTTGCTCTTTCAAAAAACCACTGTGTTGTCTTGTTTTCTTCAGAAATTGCAAACACTCTTGATTGGGGGAAGAAGATAAATCTATCTCCAAATTAAACAGTTGTGACAGGGAGGAGGTACCCAACCTCTCCCTGCTGTCCCAGGGCTGGGCTGGCTGTGCAGGAGCACTGGGAGAGCTGCATTCTTCTGCATACAGAGGAACAAGGTGTTGAATAGCTTGAAGTGCCAAGGAGTTACTGAGTAACAGAGTTTTATTGTGCAGTTAGATTGTAAAAATAATAACAACAACAACAATAGTAAAAATGCAGTGCAAATGCAGCAGATATTAGTACATATTGTATATATGTTTGTGTGTAATACATGCTGACACCTAATGCTGATATTCTCAACCAATTGCTGTACCCAACCCCTAGTGAAAAACAGCTCTTCTAATTTGGGATCCTAGTAGAATAACCAAAACCTCCAACATTTTATACATATTCATTTCTTTGCTTTAGCATTATCACTGTGTATCGATAACCATCCTCTTCAATCATTATCTTGTCACTGGCTAAAACAAGAGCTGCCTACAAGAGCATATATATATATATATGTATTTTTAAGGCCATCAAAGAGAGAAACTAGATACTTGTCTCTGTCAGAGCACCAGTTTCATAAATCATTCAGGCCTGTAGTTATCTGTGAACCGTACCTTTGCCGAGTGCATGCATTTTTCAGCAGCTTTGAATAATGACTGTCGGTAGCGCTGGATGGATGATGGAAACCTCTCGTGGCTCCTGTTGGGCTGCTTTACAGAAATCAAGTCTTGAAGAGTCCCATTGCAAAACAACTCACATTCAAGTTAAGCAGTGAATGGAATATAAAAATCCTCCAAAAGCAAGAAAACAAGCACCACCAAATTCAGCTTAAGAGATTCAATAACTCTGTGTTTGTACAGAGTAAAAACAGCACTTAAGGAAGAGCAGCCACCTCATAGCAGTTTTATAAATTATTCATTCCCCTCTCTATACTGAACTGATTGCAAATTTGAAGCAATTATTATCTCCTAAATGGAGAATATTGGTTGATAGAGAGCTGAATAATTACTACATGTTTACTCAATGGTAGTAACAGCCTTAACCAATTCACCCATATGAACTTTACTGGGGTCTTTGGGACAGGGGCTTAATCAGTGTTAAACATGCAGGACCCTTCCAGCACTTGTCCTGAATAATATTTGGGGAATTTGAGACTAAGTACATCCATTCATTTAAAAAAAAAAAGCTCATGGTTTTTTTAATACATCAATGTGTCAGGGTCAGGTTTTTATTAAAAATTATCCTGACATAGTAAGCGCACAAGGGTTCAAAGAGTATTGAAGTCTGATGAATCCTCCTCCCAAACGTTTATAGTTAAATACTTCTTTTTGCTTTTCTTTTCTTCTTCTGCACAGTTAGTTTTGCAAGTGTTCTTTAGAAGACTTAAATATAATATTTTTTAGGTGTTAAAATAAGTTATGTTCTCTATGTAAGGCATCTTCAAACTCCTCTTGCCTGGGTATGAACAAAAGTGGGTATGAACAAAAGCAGGGATGATCAGGACAGTGCTCGTGCCTGGATCTGCAGAACAATAATACAGGATAAGTGTTTGAAGATTGGAATTTTGGGGCAGAGAGAGGTATAACCTCCTCTGAGCCCTCCTGTGGCATCTTCCTCTGGGATGAGACTGTGCAGCACTGGTCCAGGATCCCATGTAAACATCTGGCTGGTTTGAACTGTGTCTTCTCAAAAAGAAAAACCTGTCACAACTTGATTTTAGTGGGAAGGAGGGTCACCATGAAATGTCTCTGTGATCCTGATGTTGATTGTAATCCTGGCACCTCCTTGCACCTCTGGGAAGGAAGCACCAAGGCAGTTTTTTTCCATTTCCCAACCTCTTTTTCCTTACACCTCTTCCTCTTTTTCCAAACAGGCGTTTGCTACGCTGAGTTCGGCGTGCGGGTCCCCAAGACCACGGGCTCTGCCTACACCTACAGCTACGTCACCGTGGGGGAGTTTGTGGCGTTCTTCATCGGCTGGAACCTCATCCTGGAGTACCTGATCGGGACGGCCGCGGGCGCCAGCGCCCTCAGCAGCATGTTTGACTCGCTGGCCAACCACACCATCAGCCGCTGGATGATCAACAGCGTCGGCACGCTCAACGGCCTGGGTGCGTCCTGCTGTGCAGAGACACCTCCATCAGTTCAGGCCTGGAACAGTAATTGGAAGCTTGTCAGGAGTCAGACATGGATATTAGGCTTCATTCATTATTCACTCTCTGTCTGGTATTTTGCCTCAGCAGCCTGGCGCACAGGCAGGATTGGAGGGGATGGGATATGGGACACTTTGGGCCCCTTTGGGATGAGCTGGCATTTAGAATACATGCACAGAAATAGTCGCATATCAGAGGGTAGGGGCAGCACAGAAACACTTCACCCAGTGCAAACAGTCCGCTTGGTCCTCTTGAGGCACACACAGAATTTGTTAAAGAGCACAAGCTAGTGTCTGCTCTACTGCCAGGGACTGGGGGCTGTGGTGGTCCTGTATGATCAACAGTTCTAGCAACAGTCCATGAATCCTACCGGTAAGAAAACCAGCCAGCTGTCCTGTACCTATGTCACGAAAACTTCATCGCTGATTGATTTTTAATGAGTACTTGGCAGATACATGTTATGCAAATTGGGACACAGTCATTGGTTTGCTGCTCTCCCAAAAGTCCAGACAGTGTCTTGAGGCATCAAGATTTATCACCTTAATTAAACAGTTTTAGCTAGTGGAGACACAGGCCTCTGGAGACCACTTTTGCAACGAGACCAAAGAGTTCTGCAAAACGTCAAGGTCTGAAAAGTGTTTAAAACTCCCCCACAGAGTTCCTGGATATTCTGTGGATGGAGAGTAGCACATGTCTTTTCTCTCACCTAGGGAAAGGAGAGGAGTCGTACCCTGACCTTCTTGCTCTGGTCATTGCTGTCATTGTGACCATCATTGTGGCCATGGGAGTGAAGAACTCGGTGGGACTCAACAACGTGCTCAATGTCATTAACTTGGCAGTTTGGGTCTTCATCATGATTGCTGGTCTGTTCTACATCAAAAGTGACAACTGGGCTGAAGGACAATTCCTGCCGTTCGGATGGCCAGGGGTAAGTCCTGTGGGCACGGAGGGACACACAGCACCTAAGTGCTGCCACACACTCAGCCTTGCTCATGGTTTACACACCCCAATTCTGCTGCACCCTCCAGATTCCAGCCCTGTTAAATCCACCTGTGCCTTGGCCAGGGACCTCCAAATTCCAGGAGTGCAGGCTTGTATCCAGACCTGCTCTTCCCCCCAAACCCAAAGACTACAGCAATGATTTATCTCCTAACTCCTCTTAGCATAAACCCAGAACTTTTCCAAAAGTCCTTCTGAAGAGCCAAACTCCACATGAAGGTCTCCCCAAGGAAATGCCACTAATTGCCAGGCAGTGAAGCAAAATGCTGTGGCTATCTGAGGCAGGGTGCTCCAGAGAGCTGGATCTGCATCTGTGGAGAGGGGAGATACTTTTGTTGGCTGGTTTTCAACAACAATGTTCTCAATCATTTGTTTTGAGCACTTCATAATGCCACCTGCCAGTACTTATTTTATGGATGTTCCCTCAAAGCTTACTGAGAATATGAACATATTTGGCTTTTTTAGCTTGCTTGCACTGGTTTTTATCCAAGGATGAACAGAGACTGAAAATATCTCAGCTGGCCTAAACCCAAGATAATTTCTCAGATTTACACTGTTCAACTCCATTGGGGTTTTGTGAAGAAAAATAAGCAAGAAAGTAAAGTAAACCACGAATCTTGATTATTGAAAGGGTCCCAAACTGCCAGCACCTTCTTCCAGTAAATCAATGTCTCTTTGCCAGAGAACAACACTGAGAAGCACTCGAAAACGCACGCAAGATCGAAAGCCAGAATTACCGCACCATACAACAGGAATGAAAAAAACAAAAAAGAAAAGAGAAAAAGAGAAAAAAGAAAATACACCAAATACCACAAGCAAAAAAAAAAAAAAAAAAAAAAAAAAAAAAAAAAAAAAAAAAAAAAAAAAAAAAAAAAAAAAAAAAAAAAAAAAAAAAAAAAAAAAAAAAAAAAAAAAAAAGAGTTAAAAAAGAGAGGCACACACAAAAAACAAAAAACTCAATAGGGTGGTCTCATCCTTTTCAGCTGGTTCATTGTCTCACAAGTTGCTTGTAAAAGTAAATCCACCACCAAACACAAGTGTGAGATCCCCAACAGCGTAGGGCATATTTTAAAAGGAAAATTACAGACAGTCCCTGAAAAAGGTGAGTTTTACTGTGTGCAGTACTACTAGACAGCTGAGATGACAGAGGTGATGGACAGGTGGTACCCAGCAAGCTGCAAGGCTTTCACAGCTCCAGATGAGCTAGGCAGCCTTCACCCCGCTCCAGTGTTCCTTTCCTATAAATGTCCTCACTAATATTGTATATTGTTTTAAATCACATTTTAAAAAAAATAACCAAACAGTACAAATAATTCCTCATCCAAGTGCTCCAATGTGTGCTCCTAACCTGTCTGCAGCTTCCAAGGAAAACAGAGTTTGTTTGGGAAGCGGCTCACATCTGACGGCTGCTGCTCTCTCCTGCTTCCTCTGCAAGCGGATCTTGCTGCCACATGAGACATCTTGCTAAGGCAGAACATGTAAACATGTTCCAGATCCCTACTCATAAAAATGGATTTGGGGTGGAGGATTGTTAAAGCAAACCTGAAATTGGTTGATTGACTCCTCTGACATTGGCAGCGTATTCAGGCACTGCAGGTTTGTGGGGTGAGCTGCAGATGCCTCCATGGCTCAGGGCACAGGTTGAAATCTTTTCCTCAGATCAGACTGGTGGGTTTGCAGCATCCCAGGGTCAGTCTCCAGAGCTACATGTACACCCCCTGACCTTTGGCCACTCATCCTTTAGCTCACACAAGGCACAACAGCGCTGCTCCATTTGTGCTCAGCTCCCTCTCCCTGGCTGGGTGCCAGCCTCCCTCCTGGCACTCAGGTGTTTGATCCTTCCCACAGGTGCTCAAGGGGGCTGCAACATGTTTCTATGCCTTCATTGGCTTCGACATCATTGCTACCACGGGAGAAGAGGCAAAGAACCCAAACACCTCCATCCCCTACGCCATCACAGCCTCGCTTGTCACGTGCCTGACAGCTTATGTGTCTGTAAGTAGTCCCTACACAGGTGTGAATGTACATAAATATGTATGTATGCATATAAATATATATATATGTACCATGTGAGTCCTTCTGGCCACCTGCACAGTGCCTGCCAAGGCTCCTCTCCATTTGTCCCCAGGCTCCTGTCACCTAACAAGACCTCTCTGCCAGCTGCAGGTGGCAGGCAGGTTTTTTTCTCGTCCCCATCCACAGCTATTTTTTCACCCAGGAGAGAAGCAAAGAAGAAGGAGCAGCAGCATTGCAGCATCCTTTCTCCATGTTTCTGGGAAAAGCAGCACTGCCTCTGCTGGAGATACGGGAAAGGATCCAAATGAGGGGAGGGATAGGCAGGGATGGCTATGTGAGATTGCACTGCTCTGCACCCCAATAAAAGCATGCCTGTGCTCAGAGATTTTTCTTGCAAAAGAGCAAAAGTTAGTTATGAAGGAGAAAAAACGCTGTTCTGATCAAAGAAACTCACCTCTCCTGCATGGGAGTGGGCTTCTCATGAAAACAAATTCTTTGACTCAAATAGGGCAAGAGTGTTGCTCCAAGCAATGCAATCTGGATTTGGGTCTGCCCCAGCCTTATTTCTCACACAGGTATGCAGCCAGAGTGTTAATAACCCTGCCAGTCACACCAGCCTCACCAGCCTCCCCAGTCCCACTTGACTCCAGCATCACCCCTGGAGCAAGGTTCAAGCATCCCCTTCTTGCCTTTGGGTAGCAGAGACTAAGACCCCACAGTTTTCTGGATCAACCACCCTACAGCAAAGTGCAAACAGACCAAGCTCCAGCATTTTACATCCCCTCCACCCTGAGAATCCCCAGCAGCTTCCAGTGCTGATGTTGACACCCCTGTCCTGCTCCTCTCGCCTTGCCCAGGTGAGCATGATCCTCACACTGATGGTGCCCTACGATGCCATCGACACCGAGTCCCCACTGATGGAAATGTTCGTGGTCCACGGCTTCTACGCAGCCAAATTCATCGTTGCCATCGGGTCCGTGGCTGGCCTCACTGTCAGCTTGCTGGGCTCCCTCTTCCCAATGCCCAGAGTCATTTACGCCATGGCTGGTGATGGGCTGCTCTTCAGGTCAGTCACACCCATGCTGGCATTTATTTTTGGCCTCCTGGGATCTGAGGGGGAATTGTGCCAGGGGCCTTGGGGGTCCCAACACCCCAACAATATTGTCACTGCAGGGAGCAATGGACATGCACAGACACGGTGGGTGCAGAATGGGGCACAAGGCAAAGCAATATCCTGGGGGGAAAATATCAGGAGCAGCTTACCCTACAGTCTCTCATTAGAGATTCTGATTATGTGGGGATGAGTGTTTAATTCAAGAGCCACTTACAAAGGAGAGCAGTTAATATGAATAAAATCTGGGAAGCATCCAAGTTCTCATTGCAGAGCTGGTCAGACCCAGATCTAACTCCAAATTCAACTTCAGCAGGGTTGCCAGTCCCCACGTGGAATCAAAGTTCCAAAAAGCAACAAGACCTGAAGGGATCCCCGAGACTGTCCCCTAGAAACAGGGAAGGGTTATTGCAACAGGGTTGCAATGGTTATTTAACTTTCTGTGATTGTTCTGCACTCCAGGTTTTTGTCCCACGTCAGTTCTTACACGGAAACTCCTGTCGTGGCTTGCATCGTGTCCGGGTTCCTGGCAGCTCTGCTCTCCTTGCTGGTCAGCCTGAGGGACCTGATTGAGATGATGTCCATTGGCACCCTGCTCGCCTACACGCTGGTGTCCGTCTGCGTCCTGCTCCTCCGGTACCAGCCCGAGAGCGACATCGACGGCTTCGTCAAATTCCTCTCCGAGGAGCACACCAAGAAGAAGGAGGGCATCCTGGCTGACTGTGAGAAGGAAGCTTGCTCTCCTGGGAGCGAAGGAGAGGAGTTCTCTGGCCCACCGACCAACACGTGCGGGGCAAAAAATCTGCCATCACTAGGAGATAACGAGATGCTAATTGGGAAATCTGATAAATCTGCCTACAACGTCAATCACCCCAATTACGGCACCGTTGACATGACCTCGGGGATAGAGGCAGATGAGTCTGAGAACATCTATCTCATTAAGCTGAAGAAGCTGATTGGCCCTCGGTACTACACGATGCGGATCCACCTCGGGCTGCCGGGTAAAATGGATCGCCCGACGGCGGCCACCGGCCACACGGTCACCACCTGTGTGCTCCTGCTCTTTGTCCTGATGTTCATCTTCTGCTCCTTCATCATTTTTGGGTCAGACTACATCTCTGAGCAGAGCTGGTGGGCCGTCCTCCTGGTCGTGCTGATGATCCTGCTCATCGCCGTGCTGGTGTTTGTGATCTTGCAGCAGCCAGAAAACCCCAAGAAGCTGCCCTACATGGCCCCCTGTCTGCCCTTTGTCCCTGCCTTCGCCATGCTGGTGAATATCTATCTCATGCTGAAGCTCTCCACAGTCACGTGGATCCGATTTGCCGTCTGGTGTTTCGTGGGTGAGTCCCAGGTTCATTTATTTTCATTCACTGATGCTCTTTTGGAAGGTTGTTGATAATAAAAACTTCCCTAATTAGAGTGCTTAGGCTGACGCCTGGGAAATACCCAGTCCTTCTCATCTGCCCCTTGCCATCCTGAAGTTTTTAGAAATCTCATTTTATCCAGCCCCTGAACCACAGCTAAGTGGAAAATTACACCTCCAGAAAACATCAGTTTCATGGAGGAGAATGACTTCATGAAAAGGTGGTTATTTTGACAGCTTTTTTGATGCAAAGTGAGCAGGATCTGCAAATTGCCTCACAGGCAGGTTTTGTACAGAAATCAGCCTGATTTCTTGCCCTGTCACCCACTTGAGCTTTTCAGCAGCCCACACCAGTATTTCAGCACTGCTTTTCCAAAGTCCAGAGCTGCCCAATTCTAGAAGCCCTGGAAAAGTCAGATCTGTAGACTGTATCTCCCTTTAGCTCAAGTTCTTAGCTTCTGGGTAGGGACATCTTAGGACTCACAGACTCTGTTGTGGAGCCTTTTTTCCCAAATTTAGTATTTCTGACACATAACCAGGAGTCCAGCATACCCATAGTTCTTTACTTTGCAACCCACTTACTCCACAAACCCAAGAGAATAAAGCAGATCTCATAGCTCCTCCAAGCTGAGCCATTGGGCAGGAGCTGCCATCTGCATTTTTGGGCTGGAGAAGATATACTCGGTGCTTTTTTGGCCCTTGAAGTCAATACTTGAAGCTGCAAACCCAGAGAAAGCCCTTCTACCTGGAAGAAAAGATGACTCCAAAGCATCTACTTAATCTGCTGTGATTAAGCACTTTCCTCTATGGGTGCAAATACCTCTTGAGTTGCCAGCAATGACAACGAGTCAATTAAACCACTGCATTAGGTGTGATGAGCTTCACCAGCCCATCCATGGCTGTTGGGGATGGGACATCCCACTGGTTTTTCTGGCAGAGATATGTGATCCTGATTTAATCTCACATCAGTCCCCTGTGGTTAATCCATGGCATGTGGAGTTTGGATTTCTCTGTACAGATCTCTGAGGTAGGTCAGTATCATGATCCACCAGAAATCATATCTCTAGATGTATTTGCTGCCAGTGAAAGCATTTGTCCAAGGTGAAAATCAGGTAGGGCTGAAAGGTGAAATCAGGTAGGGCTAGTGGGGCTAGTGAGTAGCTGGGGTTCAACCCTCTCCCTTTTGCCCACCCCAGGTCTGCTCATCTACTTCGGCTATGGGATGTGGAACAGCACACTGGAGATCAATGCCCGGGAGGAGGCCCTGCACCAGAGCACCTACCAGCGCTACGACGTGGATGTCGACCCCTTCTCTGTGGATGACGGCTTCTCCTTCGCACCCGAGGGTGACAGCTACCCGGGCTGGGGTCCTTCTGAGGACAAGAGCTTCTCGTACCAGCAAATGGCAGGCACCAAGGAAAGCCATCGGACAAGTAGCAGGTCGAAAAGCAAAGGCCGGCACAAACCGCCGTCGGATGCTCTGATCGCCAACGACGAGCTGGACTACTCGCCCGAGTAGCGGGACAGGCAGCGGGGCGCCACGACGCCCAGGTGATGAGGAAGGGTCCCCGTGGCTCCCCCATCCTGCCCCATCCTCCCCGGGTCCTCCACCACCACCCTGCTCACCTCCAGTACTCGGGACATGCTCTGCGATTGCCGTTGACCCCGGACCAAAACCACCCGTGGCCCGTCCCAGCTCCAGCAGTCGCGTCTCACTCTGGTGAATGCTGGCTGATCCCCCAGCACTGGCTGATCTCCCAGCAGCGGCTGCACCAGTGCAGGCAGCGGAGTGGGAGATGTGCCAAACCAGGAGGGTGTTGAGAGGTGGAAGGAGACATATGAGGGGACATCAAATTGTCCCTGGGGAATGTCCACCTGATGGCCGCAGCAGTGAGATGTCACTCTAAAATTTTTGGCACTTTCTTGGCATGTGTGTTTTTTTCCTTTGAACCACCTAGAAATTATAGCTAAGCCAGAGGCACAGAGAGGTGGGTAGGTACAAAATGGAGATGGACACACTCTTCCTTGGGAGTAGCTCAGAGATGCATAGTTGGTTCCATCATGCAGTGTTTCCATGGCCTGTTCTGGTGCACTGCACAGAGCAGTGCTTCCCCCATGTCCACCCCCACACCCCAAACCCCAGTATTGTTATTCAAAATTAGTCCATGTCTCAGTCGAATCTTTAAGTCCCAGCGCGGCCCAGCACCCCAAATCTGTGGCTGGGAGCCTGATCCCATTCCTGGTCACAGTGAGGGCTGTGACTCACTCTTGGCTCAACCCTTTTTGTACAAATGGTCAACGAGGACCACACATTCCTCTCAGCATCACCAGTCTGAGGTTGGGCACTGCTTCCACCACTTAGTGTCTTTTACAAAAATTACTGTGCTGTCATTCCCTCACCATGCTGGGCACCTTCCAGTGCTCACTCTGCCCTCAGTGCTCCAGACACCCATCCATGCCCTCACAAAATAGCAGCATCCGTGGGTCAGCCACCTCTTGGCGGGGCTGGGCCACGGGTAGCAAGCGGAGAGAACTTGGCAACTGAAATCTGACTCCCTACTGCACCTTGTACAATATTCTCTGGTTTTGACCTTGCTTTGGTGGGTGCTGTATGAAAAACACTGAAATGCTGCTCATTCCATAAGTGTCCGTATTTCAGTCTAAAGCCAAACAGAGCTGGTGGCTCGTGGGGCAGAGGTGGTCAGCAGGTGGATGTAAACCCCCTGAACATGGCCGTGGCCCCCAGAAGTGCCATCAGACTCCCTGCTGCCAGTGTCCCCACAGAATCATCAGTCAATGGGATTTGGTCAATGATTATCAGCAGGTTCAGTTGTGGAGCCCATCATGCTTCATGTAAAACACCGTGGTGGAGGAACATTTTTTTGAATAAACAGCAACCAAAACCCTTCAGACAGCAACTCCCATCCTCCCCGCAGCTGCTGAAGGCTGCAGATGGATCCATCCCAGGGGCTTCAGTGCAGCCCAGACCAACCCCAAGTACCATGGGCTGCTGCTGGCTTCCCAGGGGACAATTTAACATCAACAGGGGCAGGATTTCCTATATGGAAATATCCTCATGGATATTGAGAATCATTAATGCTTTGGTACACTGGATGAGGCTCAGGCTCCCAAAACACCTGCCTGGCACCCTCCGTGGGCAAGAAGGTGCAAAGGGTGCCTGGACCTGTGCCCATCCCCATCACTCCTGGGATGCAAGGGCTTGATGGAGACGCTCTGCCTGGGGCTGTAAAAGTATCCCTCCAGCTCCTGTCCCAAACAGTGTGGCAAACTACAGTCATTTTCCCAGTGGAGAAGAGCATCCAATTCTGCAGATTTTAACCCGGAGTGCTCCAGGGGAACCAAGGGAAGTTTGGCCTCTGCAGCAGCTTCAGGGTGGGAGTGAAGATTTGGCTAAAGGACCTGTAAGCTTTGCTCTGGCATTGACTCCTGCTGCCCACCCCTACCACGCTTCCACAGGGAGAAATCCTGAGTGTGTCCCACTGAAAAGCTGTTGCAATGTGCACCGCTCACGGGCCAGCTCAGGAAACCTCTCTGGCAACACTGAACTCCTCTTGTGATGGTCACCATCCACCCACACTCGTCTGCTCTCATCCTTGATGCCTTAGAAGTACCCAGGAGGGGATGGCACCTCGCAGGTCTGGCTGTGTGTTTTCAGGGAGGAAGATTGATGCTGCTTTCCTACCAGCTCTTGTACTATACCATATCCAAGGTAGTCGTTCTCGTCCTGCTTCCACACGGTATTTGGGCATCTGCCGAGCCACAGACTCATGCCCAAGCACCCTGTTGAGTCAAAGCCTGATCTTCTTGCAGCCTTAATCTCTTGCTACAGAGCAGTTACCAGTACCAGTGTCTGTTGTCACGTCCACTCTAGTCACGCTGTATAATTTGACAAGGGTTTGACCCCTTGCTCTTTGGTGTCTGTAGGAACTTCTCCATTGGATCTGAGCAGCCTTTTGGCTGCCCCCATTCCCAGTCACCCATCCTCCTTCCCCTTCCTGGGGAAGTGCTGGGGCAAGAGGGCTGTACCCTGTCCTGGGACCTCCAGGGAGCAGCATTTGTGCCGTGGCAGTGTCAGATGAGGACGGGCTCCTGTCAGCCCTCGCCGTGCTGCGGGTGGGAGCTGTACCACATCCCACCCAACAGAGGTGTTTAAGGAGAAGGTGACCGAGCCACAGGTCTTGGGGGTTTGCCAGTGGCCAAGGGCTGGTTTACAGGATCCCTGCTCCCTGTTCTGGGTGGCAGCTCCTGGGAGATGTGCAGGTTCAGCCTCTGGAAACTCACGTGCTGTCTCTTGTAGCAGCATTGGGCTCTTCAGTGGGCACGAGCAAAGGCTGAGAAGGCAAAATGTCCAGGTGTGTCCATCACCTCTGGGCACTTCTGGCCAGGGGCTGGGAAGAGGTGCAAGTGCTCGTTTGGCTGTAACCCAACTCCAGCCTTTCCCCTGGGTGCCCCGAGGGAGGTTCTCACATGCCTGGGCCATCAGGAGGACATGGCAGAGCGGAACCATCCTGCTCCCACCTCTGGTGAGAGGCACAAAACCTCCATGCCTGCCTGCTCTCCATGGGGCACATGCCTCAGGGGCCAAATGCATGGTACAGGTGGAGCATAAATACCTCAAACCTTCCAGGCCGAGTCTGTAAGATCTCAGCCCCTCCACAAATTCACTCCACATGGTCACAGCCCCTTGGTCTGACACCCAGCACTCCAGCATCCTCCCCATGGCAGCAAAATCACAGCCCAGCAACATGGGATGTTGTAAATCCAGCTTGTAAATGACCTTCACTTTGTTTTGTTCAGTCTTTCTGATGTATATCTTGCTTTTTTTTTTTTTTTTTTTTTTTTTTTTTTTTTTTTTTTTTTTTTTTTTTTTTTTTTTTTTTTTTGCAGGTGGTACTTTCTGGTGTAATAATTCTCTGCAGTTCTGATATGAAGTTGGTGTATTTGTTAAAAGCAGTTTGTTCTATCCATTTTATTTCTTTTGTGGTTTTCAGAAGCCCATTGGTGCATTTTACAATGGGGTCTTGTAGTGTGTCATGAGAAAGAAAAAATATGCAGATATGTTATGGAGTGGTTTTTATTTTCAAATGACTGTGTTGTTGACAACTATACATATAATACGTATATATAATCAAGATACTAAGAAAAAAATCTAAATTTACCAAAATCTGTATATTTTAATAAATGCATAAAGCTTTTATTGTGTGCCTTTGCATTTAAAAATCAAAGAGGAACTAAGGGATTTGTAAAGAAAGCCAGAGACAAATGTGTCTTAGAATTAGTTTCCATAGTAATGTAAATCTTTTAAATGAAAGACTAAACCAAAAAGTAATAATAATAAAAAAATCCCATGTAAATTTTGTTAAGCCAATCAGTACCCCAAGTTCTGATATTTTTTAAGTGCTAAATAGAAGCTAGAGATTAACAAAATCTTGCTTTAAGTGATTTAAAAATTCCATTTTAGAAGATCCATTTCAGGGGGCTGACTTTGTTATTTACTTGTACTGTTGTGAGAGAAAATGAATATCTGTAAACACAATAAAAAAAAATTAAAAAAAAAAAAAAAAAAAAAAAAAAAAAAAAAAAAAAAGGGAAAAACCTAAAGCAAATGACCACAGGTTGACTGTGCAAAGGCCTGGGGTGCACTGATGTCTTCCCAGCTGCTGGCACTCACCTTTCCTTGGGGGAGCTGGGGTGTCCAGCACTGTCCCCTCCCTGCATGGGCCAACACAGCTGCCTGGCCCCTTTGGGGTGCTCAGAGCCTCCAAGGGCTCCTTCCTGCTGTCCCTGTTAACTGGGAGTGGGGAGCCTGCCAGGTGCTCTCCTCATCGTGGGGATGGGATGAAGAGCTCCAGCTGGTCCTGGTAGAGCTGGGGACAGCTCTGCTGGGCATCAGGGACCTCCACACTGGGGTGACCACCATGGCTCACAGCCAGCACTCCATACTTGGTGTTAGGAATGGTGTGGAGCAGTTTTTTGATTCAGAAGAATTATATTTGATCCTATTTTGAGGCTTTGGGTCAGCAAATGAGCATTAAAATCCTTCATGAGCCACCAGTGCTGTGGCTAATCCAGACCAAGAGAGCCCCACAGGGAAACAGAGTGTTTTGGGCTGGCACAAAGCAGGTGTTTCAGCTTTGATCCTTTAAAAACTGGAAGAGTTTAATGTTCTTTGTGCTTCCTGAGAACCCTTCCCCTCTCTGGTGCCAGCACTAGTACCCTGTCACATTCTTGGCCCCATCTCCTCACACCCTGTGGTTGCAAATGTGCATTTTCCTGCAGCTGCTGCGGTGTTGCTTTGCTTTGGTTGGTTTTTAATTCTCTTCCCTAAAATAAAACTTCTTCCTTCCTCTGAGCAGCACTGCCAGGGCCTTTTAAGAGCTGGATTTGGGGTCAGATGTTGGTAACCTGTGGCTGTGGGCAGAGCACACAGAGCCCCAGGGCCTCTTCCTGCCAAGGGTCCCCAGCATTGTAAATGCAGTCGAACCCAATGGGAAGAAATAACGATGTCTGACTCAATTCAGAAGGCTGAATTATTTCTTTATTATAACTATCCTAAAATACATTAATATGCTATATAAAAGGAGGATACTAAAACTACATACTACTTTCTCTGACTCTAACACAACTCGTGACCGTCTCTGAGAGTCCAGCCCTAGGTGGGTTGGATTGACCACTAGGCTCAAACAATCCTCACCAGAATCCAGCCAAGTACTCACTCCAAGTGAACAATTCTCCAAACACATTCCACATAGGAAAAACAAGGAGCAGAAATAGAAATTGTTTTCTCTTTCATTTCTCTCTGTGCACCTCTATGAAAAATCCTCAGAGGGAGAGAAATGTGCTTGCCACACCCCAGCACCCCGTGCATGAGGATCGCAGAATGGATGAGATTGAAAGGGACCGGGTGCATCCTTAAGGGGGTGGGCAGAAAAAAAATCCCCTAAACGCTGCCTGGCAGGGCTCGTTCCCAATCAGGTAATGCACCTCCCGCAGCACCAAAACCCTCCCCCGAGCATCCGACACAGGTGTTCCTGTGCTTTTCCCTCCCGGTTTGCTTCGGGGCTGTTTGCCGGCAGCATTCCATGGGATTTCTGCTCCGAGGTGCCCGGGGTTAGGAGGGTGAAGCCGCGGGCACAATCCACAATCCCCGGGCAGCCTGCACAAGCTGGCACGTCTGTGCCCGGGGCAGCCGCGCATCAATGCGCGCACTGACAGCGCGCTCGGGCTGCACAAGAACCGCCTGTGCGCTGCCCGTGATCTCATGGGCACAAGTGTCCTGCCACCACCGCCCCGGGACACTGCCCAGCTCGCACAGCAGAGCCTCCCGCTGCCAAAGGCAGATGCTCGGGCCAGGCAAAGGCTCCTCGTGGAGCACAGCCGGCCCCTCTCTGCCTCCTTTTAAATGCTCCAGCTTCCCACGTGGAGGAGGGGAGGTGGGACCTGCAGCACCCTTGCCTGTGTCGCCCAGTTTGGTTTCTCCAGATGAAGCAGACCAAGGGCAGTCCAGAATGCACGAGGCTTGACTTACAGCCTTGTTTTCCCATTATTCATCATCCCAAAAAACTTAGTTGCTCAGACCCTTCTCCTCCTCCTGCTGCCTTGCCACTGGGGCTCTCCTCTTGCTCATATTTGAGCAGCAACTATTCCCTTTTTCCTTCTCTTGGCTTACACAAATTGTTTGAACTGAGTTAACATCTCTGGGAACAGATGGGATTTTGTACCAGTGTAATTAAATTGCTACAGCCTCTGGTAAGGGAAGAGTTAGATCTTATCTTACACAGTTTTAATCAGAGCAATGACCCCAGATCAGACTCCTACTTTAGTTGAGAGCACTTTCAGCAACATGAGGTATCACCTTCATGGTGCTTGGGGTCATCTCCACCTCTTCAGGGGCTTTCTAATTCTTCCCAATATAAAGAAACCCACTAGTGGGTACAACTGGTACAAGCTGCTACTGGGAGCATTGAAAGAATCAAAGGATAAGATAACGAACAGTCTCATGCAGGAAGATTACTCATATTTAAAATATTCTTCATTTAATGCCACAGCAGAGCACTTTTTCACCCTGAACTGCTATAAAAAAAAGAAAATCTTCAAAATCATTGCCAATCCCTGTCATACAAAAACTGGCTATGGAAACACACAGGAAGGAAGGAAAAGTAGTCAGGGTTGCAGGTACTCTGTTATTTATTGTACAGTATTTCATTGAAAGTACAAAGGCATCATCAGTACTCACCAGAATTGTATTGTAACAGGTACATTATACTGCATGTTAAAATGTGCTGTTTTAACGAGGCAAGACAGAACACAAACTTAGAGGAAGAAAGAAAGGAGTTTAAAAAAATGTAAAAATACACTTTTTAGTAACTGCTCTGTACAAAAGAAAAAAAAAAAAAGAAACTGAAGCAGAGGGCAGGGATTAGAGCCCCCAAAGTCATTTATAACTATTTTAAAAGGCACTGTTATCTATCATGTCATTAGGACCTTTGGGTTCTGTTTCCTTCATACTGATGACTGTGGGGGTAGGGGAAACACTGTTACTAAAATGATCAGACTCATACAAAAGTATTTACAGAGAAAGGCAGAAAAATCCCCTCCTCTTGTTCCAAAAGAGAAACATTTGCCCTGTGGGAGAGGACAGCCTTTCTCCCTATCCTCTCTCCCTAGCCGTGCCAGACCCGTGACCTTGAGTGGGAGAAATCAGTGAGGATGGGGGAGAAGCTGTCAGAGTCCTCCTAACAATGGGAAAGTGTCTCTCTCATTTCTGTTTTATTGCTTTAAACTCTCCTATAATCAGGGGAGCAAGAAGACAAACTAAAATCCCTAAACCCCACCCCACAACCCCAAACCACCCTGGCTGCAAGAAGCTGGGGGCAGGCGGTCGGGACAAAACGGTGAGGACCAAGAGGTAGGGCTGGCTGGAGCTGTCTTTCTAGAGAAAGGGGGGGAAGAGATGGGGAGAATAATGCTTCAGACTACCAGACATTTGTGCTGCTTTTCTAAATCTCTCCCTGGGAGCCTGACAGCCGCATGTGTCAGCAGAAGCGAACCCAGGGCGCACGAACCCACCAGCCAAAGCATCGGATGGCAGCCGTGGGGCGTCCCCGGGGCGTCTACACGTGGGCGCTCTTGGCGTGGGTGGGCGAGCTGGATCCCGAGCCGTAGTAGAAGCGGTTCTCGCCGAAGGTCTGCGCGTCTCCCGAGCAGCACACGATGACACAGCCCCCGAAGAGGCAGAGGGCAGAGCCGATCCAGCCCGTGTACAGAGAGTAGCCGAAGCTCATGATGGTGGTCTCACGGTGGGCGCACACCGGGAACCAGATGGTCGCCACGACGCCGCACATGGCTGGGGATGGGGGGGAAGGACAGCGTTAGGGTTCTGATCTGGAGGGAGTGACAGCAGGGCGTCACACGGGCCTGGGGACAGAGAGGAAACCCATCCCTCCTCCCTTCCAGTCCCACCCCAGAAGAAGCGGCATCAGTGCTGGGTCCAGGAGATCTCCAAGCAGGAGGCAACATGGGAGCCTCAGGAGTGAGGGATGGAGAGAGAACAGCCCTCTCTCCCAGGAAGAAAAAACAACAGCTGCCTAGCACAACATAATATATTTATTAGAAGAGAAACAGATTTGTTCCCTCAAAATATCGTCAAGACAAAAAAAATGAGAGTCATCCCTGAAACTGATGTTGTGGAGAAGTGCAGAATTAGGAATAGATTAGATATGAAGAGGCCATGAAAACCATATGAATCAATGAGAGAATAAAATCCGTGGACCTGTGTGAACTGCTTTAAATCCCTATTTCCACATGGACTCACGTGCTGTGTCCTCAGCCCATGTCCCTCCTCATCATTGCAGTGGCTCTACTGGATCACATAAACTTCACCAAAATCTCCCAGCACTCTAAGGCAGAGTAGGATTTATGAAATACAAGCAGAAAATGAGCAGGGACAAAATAAGCAGCAGTTAGGCATTGCTGGGTTTTTTTCATGGAAAAGGAAATGTCTCACAGCTCTGGAAAACAGATTCTACTTCCCTGTGGAAAATTTCTATCAAGCGATGGGGACAAACCCAGCAAGGCTCTCCAGATATTTACTGAATTTAATAAAAATGGGACCTGAAGAGTCTGAAGAAGAGAAAACAGGATCCTACCTAGGGACTACAGTGGGTCAAAAAATGACTGTAGGCTTCACATTTTACTTGATATTCCAGAGGGGCTTTTCCACAAAAAGCCAGAAGGCAGCTGCAGTGGTGCTGTGAGGTGGCATGTGAGGGAGACAGTCCCCACAGAGTCCCCACATGCACCGGGGGCAACGGGAGTTGATGGTGTTAATCACCTCCCAGGAGCAGGTCCTAAAACAATACTCCTCGATGGCCTGTACATCTGAGAAGAATTAATCTGTCAATATTTACTTGCCTCCGGGACAAGCTGTGCAGGACTCCATCCTTGTGGCTATCAGAGAATCAGAGCAAAACAATAACAGGACCATGGCAGCGTTACAGATTTCCACCGACCGTGTTAAAAGGTATCTGGAGGCAGTGTCAGAAAGTTAAGGTTGCAAGAGGGAAAAAGAAAGGGGTGAGAGTAAAAATAAAATTGTTTAGTTAAAGCAGAGAACAAACCGTAGCTCCTGGCCGGTACAGCAAAAAACCCATCCCCAAAGCTGTAGTTATTGTGAGAGAAAATATTTTCTTATGGAAAAGAGAAGAACATTTGAAGGATGCTTATAAAGCCAGAAATAATTTTGGGCCTCCTCAAAGGAAGGGCCCCGCAGCTTTGGAAGGAATTTTGGAGAAAGCAGGGAGGGGAGAAGAGCATTTCTCCTGCATGTGGAGTGGTCCTGCAAACAGCTCATGAACCTCCAACGCTTTAAAACAAAAATGTATCAGTTGGGAATCCACAAAGCATTCCAATGGGCTCTGCGAACAAAACTGCTTTGTTGTCCGAAAAAACACAATCATCTTTTCTTTCTCTGTCAGCAGTAAATATATATATATATTTGTCTATAGACTATAAGACCCTTATCTCTCCAGACCCTCCCCCACAAGACAGGACCGAAGAAAACACTTGCACTGGGGTGAGAAGAGCTCTCAGGGATGCTCACACAATGGCTTCTCTTGTGCATGTGGTTCCACTACATGTAAAACACCTTATTTTAATGCTGACAATGCCAGAAACACAAGCCAAGGACTTTGCATGGGTTCACTCGACCTCTCTGTCCTCGGAGGCCACCAGCTGCCATCAGTCACCAGTGACCCCATTGCTGAGCAAGAGGAATGCCCTGGAACAGGACCGGGCTTCATCGCTCTGCATAGATTAGGTTGGGCATAGATTAGGTTGGGCTGTAAATCCTCCGAGGGGGTGGGAAAAGGACAGTCAGCAATTGCAATGTCACTCTGTGGGCTCGAATTTTATTCTGGTTGTACCACAGGGAAAGGCTGAAAGAAAAAGGTGATTTGACGAGAAACCAAAGAGATTTGACAAGAAACCTTTTCCAAAGAGATTGGAATAGAGGTTTTAGGGCAAGTTTCAAGTTCTAAAATGGCTGCCTACATGGAAAAGAAGTGTAGATAGAAATTGTTATCCCTTCTCTTGTGCTAATGTCGGGACATCCTTTGCCTCTCTCTAAATGAGAAATCTTCAGACAGTAGAGCTGCTGCAGCCAATATAGTCTAGCAGAAAAAGAAAAGAAGGTCTGCAAAGAGAAGGAATATTTTCTATTAGAGCAGCCAATTCAGTTGGGAAAACAAGCCTGTTTTGGGGCACATGTGTGGAAATCCTGCCTGCTTATTGCAGCTGGAGTAGGCAATCTTGTAAAAGCCACTGCCCCTACCTAAAAAACCATCTCAGCACTGCATGGCATGAATGTCCTTGCTCCATCAGATTGCTGTGAATCCACAGGGATACATCCCAGCTCCCAGTGTTTCCAAGTCTTTTTTAAGTGTGGATTTGCAGTAGCTCAGTCTGCTGAGCTGAAACCCTTAACATCAGAGATGTGTTGGAGTCAGAAGGACGTGCACAGAGACAAGAAGTACAGAAGGTGCTTGGGGAGCTGGGAGAGAGGGAACAGGATTGTTCTAACTCAAGGGACAATGAGTCCCTGCCAAATTCCTTAACAGTAAGTTAAAGGCTTTTTGCAGAAGAAAGAATACTTTTCTTTCACATCTAAATTTAACTATTCCAAATTGCTGACTCAAAGTCACATGGATTTCTCTTTCAAAGCATTTAGTTGAATAAAATAGATACCAAATTTTTTTTTGCTGCATTCAAGGCAGTCTTTTTATCTTAATAACTATGGTTTTACAAGTAAACGTCAGGCAGTCTTCAGGAAAACTCATTAACATCCTTTATTTAGTACCCAATGGCTTGTTTTGTAGTAGCAATTTCCACTAACATATATTTCATCTATTTTCCAGTGTCTGAGTCCCTCTTCTCCACTGGGAAAATGCCCCCTTGGTTACCAGCAAGTGGTCCTCCAAATTAGTATCAAAACAAACAACACAGGCTGGGCCAGGGATTTTCCATCAACACCAAAGTGTGAAATGTTTTCATACCAGCTCAGAGCAAACCTCTGCTGACTGCTGTTTTCAGCCATAAATCAATTCTCTTGGTCAGATAGGATCAAACAAAGCCATAAACACATCAGCAGCAGAATAGCAGGGCGTGCACACAGGTTGCACTCCGGCAGCCTGTGATTATCAGTGGACAGAAAAATCAATGGAATATCTGAGCCCATTATTTTCCTGGCAACTTTTCAGCTTTTTCTATATATATATTCTTTTCTTTTATTTTCTTTTGGCTCTGTGCTGTGTTTCAATCCCTGTTTTCCCTTATGCCGAATTTCAGTGACAAACTGCCATCCCTTCCCTGAGCAGCAAGTGAAGTTTCTTTGGGGCCAGCTTCCCTGTTTGCATCCCCACTCCTCATTTCTGTTGCATTAGGGAGTGTTTTGGGGGCCATTTTCTTTTAACCAGAGCTCTGGATGTTGCTCTCCCCAAAGAGGAAAAGTCGGTAGCCTGTGAGGTTGTGGAAACCATGAGTGAGAGTTCAGTGGCTGGAGGGTGAATAAAAACAATCCAGGGCATGTTACTTTTAGAATATAATGGATTTTAACTCAGCATTGTATCTTTCAGAGCCTGATCCATGCTTGTTAAATGCTCTGGAATGGTGACACCTCATCTTGCAGCTAACAGATCATTAATCAGCTTAAATAATGTCAAAGTCCTAAACTCTGTACATTATTCTTCTTTCAAAGAGACTGTCTTGCTGATGAGCCTGGAAAAAAATGGGATTTGTAAATATAAATGTGGGTTGGTTTCCTCTTTCCTTTTTTTTTTAAAAAAAGCAACCTAGGAGCAAAAGAAGCTTATTTATTCTTCATTTGTGATCTGACAAAAAGAGCACTATTGTAATTGTGACTAAAACATTGTGACCAGGCTGCTGATCCCAGCCCAGATCATTCAGGGCATCAGCAACACCAGTAAATCTTTCACCTGTAGGTGCTTCAGAGCTCACAGGGGTGAAAATCAATAAGATGTGGTCCAAATCTGAGCCAAAGATCATTTGTATGCCAATGTGTCTGCGACACAAATGTGAGAGATGTGATCTCTCAGGCTTCCTTTCCTCACAGGATCTACCTAGCTGGAAAGCCGTGTGCTGAGGCAGAGGAGGACCTGGTTTGTGCAGCTCCACAGCTCTCATCATCCCTGCACAACTCTCCATCATCCCCTCACACCTTCTCTCCTCCCTGGTGTCCCACTGCAGCGTGATGGGATGGGACAGTGGCACACCAGACACCAAAACCTGGTGGGACACTGCAGCACACGGGATTTCACTTGTTCTAATACAGTGGTACCCAACAGTGTCACTGGAATTTGTCATCTGTGAGCTGGTTCTGTCATCCTCTTTCCCTCTGGGATTTTTAGGGACAGTTCTCCTGCCTCCACACCTGCAGCCATGCAAGGAGGGCTGACCTGCAGCATAGCTCTCCTTGACTGGAACCAAAATCTTGTGGCTTTTGTGGCAAAGTGCAGCTCTGCTGGGCCTCCCCATCCTGGGCAGGGCAGAGCAGACTCCTCCAGCACTAAATTTCATTCACAGGGAGAAAACCTCCACCTTTCCTTTCACTTCTCCAAGCCCAAACACGTGACTCAAGGTTCCAGGGTAGGGATGAAGATCACATTCCAACATGGCTGTTCATGATTGGAATGTCCTGGACTGGCCCTTTAAAGCTGATGTTAGGACTTCCAGCTGTGCTCTTAAACTCCACAGGCCCCTTGGACTCAATCCCTCAGATCTGGGATGTGTGGACCTGTGCTAACCACAAGGTGATGGAGGTGGGATGACTTGCATGGAAGGAGCATCCAGAGGACAGCCCTTCCAAGTGTGCAGCTATATTCAGTGCCCACTTGAAAAAAAAAAAAAGAAGAAGAAAGAAGACGGGCATGATGTCAGTGCTGGCTGCCAGCGAGAGCAGAGCCACACAAAGAGGTCACTTTGCCTCTCCCCTCCTCCTCTGCCACAGACGGGTGACAACAAGGCCCCGCAGGCTGTTGCTGAGATGACGAGGCCTCAAGAACATGCAGGTGTTGCATGGGGGACAATGAGCTCCACAGTCTGAGCTGCTCAAAACAATCTCCTCCACAAGCACCGAGGACGGGAAGAAATTCCCAGGGGAGCTTGGAGGCCAAGGGGGAGGCTGGCCAGAGGGGGTTGGGAGGCACAGAGGGCACGCCAGTCCTCCTCCCGTGCCAGTGCCATCCCTCTTCCCATGTCTGTGCCACCTCCACGCTCCTTCCCTTGTGGTTTCCACAGGACTAGCCCCATTCAGTAAGGGCTTCCCTTCCCACATGCCTCAGCTTACTTGTCCTGGATGTCCAGGGAAAACTGGGAGGCTCTGCCTTCCCTATAAGTAGCTTGGAAGTTTAGATCCTTTCCAAAAAATCACCTCCACAGTGAACCAGCATGATCCATGCCTCAGCTTACTTGCCCTGGATGTCCAGGGAAAATTGGGAGGCTCTGCCTTCCCTATAAGTAGCTTGGAAGTCTAGACCCTTTCCCAAAAATCACTTCCACGGTGAACCAGCACGATCCCTGCCTGCAGGCACTGCCCGTGTGCAATGGCCTTCCAAGAGAAGCCATGCCCGAGAACTCCACAGGACAAAGACAGAGAGATTCACAGCCCTCCCTCTAACCCTGCTGTCCTTGTCCTCCCACTGCTGCCCGTGCCTTTTGTCCACCCCCAGGCCCCAGCAGGGCCAGCCCAGCCCGCACAAACCCTCCCAGGAGGAGCCGCCCAGCCAGCCCGGGAGCGGGGACACGCTGCAGCCCCACCGTGGCTGCGCCTTACCCAGGAGGATGATGAGGATCCCTCCGAGCTGGGAGCGCCGGTACTTGGCCGCGCCGGGCTCGTGGCCCATGCGGATGCAGGGCAGCACCGTTATCAGCAGGAAGATGGCAGGGAGGCCCAGCACGGAGGCGGCGATCATCAGCGCCCGACACGCCTGGACGTACCCTGTGGGCAAGGCCAGGGAGGAGGGTTTCGTTATTGGCACAGCAAAAGGAGACTTTGGACAAAAGCTCCTGTTTTGTAACTACATTGAGAAGCCCAAGACATGCACGGAGTACGGGAAATGTGCTCATCCCTGTGGAAACATCAAATCTTCACCAGGCACAGGGCGGCGAGGCTGCAGTGCAGTGGGGAGTGCGTGGATACGGGATGTGCGTGGACACGGGATGTGCAGGATCCCAGTTTCCCAACAAACAAACAGCACTGCCTGGAAAACACAAGCTTTTCCCTGAGAAATCATGGAGCTGGAAAATACGGGATGGGAAAGTAGGAGACATTTTCTCTAGGAAGGAGTTTCCCTGTATCTCTTCATAGCGAGAGCTTGAACAAAGAACAAGATTTTTAAATATTTGAAATTAAATAGCAGGAATTTAAAGCCTCAAAGACTCCCCCATCATTCAGAGGGCTGAACAGCTGTAGACCCACTACTGACACTGCAGGTCCATGGGATGCTGCCAGCAGCTGCCCCAAGGCAATGAGCACTGCTGACCTGGGAGGAGGAGGAGGAGGAGGAGGAGGAGGAGGAGGAAGGACACTCCTCACCCACAGCCACACCTCAGCACTGCACCCCAGGAGCTCAGCCTGGCTCTGGGGCCTCAGAGGAGATCCATGGCTTGAGCTGAGTACTGGCACAGCCTTTCCTTAGGGAGAAGACTTTGCAGAGCTGCTGGAGCTGCCATGACCAAGGGCCAGGTTGTTCCTCTGGATCCCTATGGACATCCCAGGATCCCCTGGCACTTATCAGCTCCCATTCCTCTCTTACCTGTGCCTGTGCACAAGGCAACAGGAAACAACAGGAACTAGGGGCTGTGGGGGTGCTGGGCAGGAGCATGACATTTCTGCCACTCTGGGAGGGTCTATGTATCACAATGTATTATTTAAAAATATATATGATATATATATCTAAATTTTATAATATATATATATTATACGTTATATATATATATTATACAAAAATTACATATTAGTAAGTTATACAGGTCATTATTAGCATGCAAAAGGCAAAGAGCAAATGTCAGGTTTGCCCCAGTGCCTAGTGGCCTCCCCCAGTTTTCAGGACAGTCTCAGCACAGTGTCCCCTCTTATTAACAAAAAGAAGCTGTCAGATGCAGGCATGGAATTTCAAGGTGCTTCAACCAACACCAGCAAAGAGGGGCCTTGAGCACATCCCACTGACACACAGGAATGAGGACTTTACTGTTTCTGGAAATGCAGACACTTTGTGTATTGAAGATTTGCTTGATTTTTTTCAAGAGGAAACTTAAAAAAAAAAAGTTACCTGAGGAATTCAGGGCATAAAAGCAGACCCTAAACAAAGGAGATGACTGTACCCTGTGTGTATTCTGTGCAACCAGTACTAAGTAAATGAGAATAAAAACAATTCATTTTAAAGACTTGACTCAGACAAAGAAAGGCTGTAAATATATTTCAGCTATTGGGCACACCAGGGTAAATTTCCCTCTCATTCCATTCCATCGAACAGGCTACAAGCAGAAACATCTTGATTTGTGATTTTCTTCTGCTTGAGGGAAGCTTTGCTCTCTGCTACTGCAAGACCCATTCACTTATTTATTAAGCTGCATTCACTAATGTTTCTTTAGGGCAAAACCTTCCTCTGTCTTCTCTGCTGGATCAGATTTAACAACAGCAGCAATAAGGAAGGCAAACTTACTAAAATAAAAGTAAGCACACACAGAGAAAGGGAATGAGAGACTCAACATTGCTAAGGGCTGCGTGCCACAGACCAAGCTCTGTAACAGAGAGAAATTCAGGAATTATCTTTTTAACCACTTGTAAAATTATCTTCACAACAATGTAAACCAGTAAATAAGGAAACATCCAAGAAAATGACAAGGAATGGTCATTTCTGCCCTGTCAGCTTTGAGAGAGGCACCTTTGACATGGAAGAGGAGTTGCAATCTAAACCAGAGCAGAATTAAGTGCTTCAGAGTGAACAGTGGTTGAAACTGGCAAGCTCACAAACTAAACTTACAGGGAGCAAACCTCACAAGACTTTGGCAGGTTTATTTAGCTCAAAAGATGTATTAATGCTGATTAAACATCTTGCTTAATTTTTGCCTTTCAGTAAACTAGATGAAAGTTACTATATCATTAAAAAATATCAAGGTAAAAGTAGCTACATCAGTTTGCTGTGTAAAAGTTCTGTCTTGCCTCAGAATCTGTGGGAAGTACAAGACCACCAAGACTAATGATGATCTCCTGAAAGATTAAAAGCCACAGCAGCATTAATAATAGACGCTGAAAGATTAATTATGCTCCGAATCACTTTAAGGAATCAAACCTTAACATTTGTAATAGTTCACCATCCCCTTGAAGTGCTCTATTACACCTCAGTGTGCTCTGTACATCTTGCAGTGCAATCCAGAGACAAGAGGTGAAAGGAGCAGTGAGATTTTACTAAGAGCAATTAATTAACATTTACTGGATTTAGCAGTCACAGAAAACATGAAACCAGTTTGCGATTAAAACCAGGTGTAAATCAATGAGAATCATGTTAAGAGCTATCATCCAACTCCTTCAGTGCATCCAGTGGAGCATCTCCTGTGCTGGTGAAGCTGAAGGAGCTTCACCATCACCTCCTGCAGCAGCAGCAGCTCCTGAGCAAGGCTTCAGCCCTCGCTCGGGGTGGGAAGGGGAGGACGGGACACACTCACCCGGCAGTATGAGGATGTCCACGAGGGGCTTGCAGTGATAGAGCCCTGTTGCCATGACACAGTCTGCCCAGAGCCCCTTGGATCCCAGCTCATCCATTTTCCTGCAGGTGGTAATGGTGTAGCCGCAAGTCACCACCCAGTCGTTGGTGGCCGTGGCCACAACCACCCCGATCCACCCTACGAAGCTGCAGACAAATCCAGCCAGGTGCAGGCAGGTGGCCACCATCTCGGTCCTTTGGTGGGGACAGCAGCACAGGACGGTGCCCACGGGGGTGAGCCCGGAGAGGTCCCGGCTGCAGGAGCGGGAGGGATGGGGATGGGCAGGAGCGGGTCCCTGGTCCGGCTGCGCTGAGAACACTCGGCTGCCTCTGCCCAGCTCCCTCCCTGGGAGGGGTCAGAGCTGCCTCCAGCCCCACAGCGCTGGGAGGAGCAAGAGGGGAGCCCCAACTTCTGCCAGAGCATCCGCAGCGTGCGAGGGGAACGGGGCGCGCACAGGGGGAGATGCGCGGTCGCAGCCAGCCGCGCTTGCAAAACGAGCCGGAGGGATTTTTCAAAATGCAAACCAACAGTCTGACTGCTCGAAATGTAGCGCAGAGGGAGAAAAATGAAGGCAGTGTTTGCCAGCTGAACTTTAATAGTCGCACTGGTACATCCTCGGAGGAATGTGGTGGACAGTTACTCAAAAGGTGGAATTGATCTCATCAAAGCCATCAGCACAGCTGTTGTAAAGGGACAAAATCGGTCTTGGGTCTTTCCTGATGTATCTTGTAAAAATAGAAAGACCCACCACTGCTTTCTCTGCTGTGCCTGGGCTTTCAGAAGTATTAACTAACACACACTGAGTCCTAAATACGTGTTTAACACCACCATAGTCCCACTTTTGAATCCTCAATTTAAAATGAGCAGCTTTTAACTCAGACTTTTAATCCGAGTAAATTTACTATAAATTTTAGTGCATTTAATAAAACAGCAGCAGCTCACTTCAAAACGCCAGAAGTGGAGAAACTCCACATCTTCCCGTTGTGCACCAGGAGAAACAGGCAGGCAGGACATTTCCCCAGCTTCGCTCTGTATTTTCACAGCACATATGGATGTTCTCCAGGATATTTCATGGCCGTGTGTCCTCCTCCGGCGGTTTTGGGAAGGGAAGGTTCGAACGGGGAGGATGCTGCATGCCTGGAGAGACCGCTAGTGGAGAGCGGCCCGCGGTGCAGGGCAGCGAAAGCGACACAAAAATGAATTTCATTCACTCCTGGAGCTGCCAGCGAGAAAAATACGGGAAACGCCACTCCGAGTTTAAGTGCTAGGAATTAAATATATCAAATATATCCTGCTCCTCATCCAAGGGTATTTTTTGCCGTTCTTTAACAACTAAGAAGAAAAACAAGAGCATCCTAACTATCATTTGTCATCTGCTCCTTAGATCCAAAATTCAAGGACATGAGGTCACAGTTTTCTGTCAAAGCTTTATCTGAACACTGGAGCACTACCAATATAGTTGAAAATTCTTTTTCAAGAGAAGCTTTTATAACAAAACTAATTTAATAATTGCTTTCACATTTGTTTTATATTGTTGGTTGCTTCTTGGGTTTTTTCTATACCATGTTTATGGTATTTCTGTGAAGCCAAGCTGCCAGCTGGCCTTCCAATTTCCTGATGTGATTCCACCTTCCTGCGTGGCTTATCCTTCTACTGCACCCACCTCAGGTGGAGTGTGCTGTTACTGATAACCAAACACAAATTTATGTTGTCTAGGGGTCAATTCTAGATGGATTTAATCTTCCCCTAAAAAAATATTCCTTCTTATTTATTATTCAGGAGATAAACTTGTCACCTCTTGGAGGAAGTGGTGCTGTTCACTTCTTGGAGTAATTGGGCAGACCATGTGCCACCTCCTGAATTCAAAAGGAGAGGAGAGATTTCACCCCAAAGCTGAGGTTTGGAATCATTTGACACAGTGATAGTGCAGGCACATCCTAATGCACAATGTAAGTATTTTTTAAATGTTGCAAGGTATTCATTGGCATATACATCCTTCTGTAATTCAGTCTACATTTTTGGTTTCCTTAATCACAAAAGCTTCTTAACTATGTTTTCCTTCACAAATGTATTTATCAAGGAGTGTGCAGGAGCAAGGAGTAAATTTGACACTTTGGTAGCCAGCACTATTCAACAGAACTGAAGCTGGTGCCCACAGGGCACAGTGTGAATTATTTCATTAATGTCAACAGAGACAGGAGACATTTACCATTTTGTCAGTGTTATAAATCACACCACCAACAGTTAAGTGAATATAAGTTCGTACAAGGCAAGTGGACAATGATTTACAAGATCAATAAAAGAAGGAACAAGAATGACTTGCCAGCTATATGCCAAATAAGCTGATACACTTTGGGCAATAGCCTTTTTAAAAGCAAGCGTTACACAGGCATTTATTCCAGCAACAGTGTGAACTCCTTAAAAATCAATCTTTTTACCCTTCACTCCCAGAGCTTTTCCTTGATCTGCATTGTTCTCTCTGACAAAAGACAGGCATTGCAATTAGTCATAGCTACCCAAGCTATCAACACCCCAGGGCTTTCTCATCCAAATGACTCACCTTGAACTTTTTCTACATTTTCAGCCTTATTGTTTCTTCCCTGTTTGGAAACACAGCAGTATACAAAAGCAAGATGGGATGCAGAAATAAACAAGTTTAAGTGGTAAAGTCAGTTCTTAATTTTGTTCCATACTGAAGGCTAAGCTCATCATTGGAATTTTCATCTTTATCCTGGTTCATACTGCTCCTTTCTCTCTTTGTAAAATACAGGCAGGCCTGTGCTAGCATTAAGGGTTTGAAATTATCTGAAACATCACCAGGATTTCCTATATGGGAGAGAAGCTCCTTAATAGAATGACAAAGTGTTTTTGCACTGTTTTGAGGGGAAGAAAAAATAGCAAAAGGTGTGTCAATGTGCTTTCTTATGCATCAAGAAAATCTTCTCAGTATAAATAAAATTCCCCAGAAAATCTCCAAAATATTATTTGCACCAAAAGTTAATATAATCACATGGTTTACAAAAACTAAGAATGCCTGAGAGTCACTCACCATCAGTAGTAACTATTTTTTTCAGCAAATACAGTAAAATTCTCATTTCTGGTTTTAATTTTGGATAATCTCAGCATTTCATCTGGCAATGTGTGTTTTTAATCTCATTTATTATTGAGATACAGAGTTATGAACAACTCACACATTGCTTGAACAGTCAAGCAGCAACAAAGCTGGGCACCAGAGAACTTGCCAAGTATGCAAGGAGTTCTATTTTCAGGTATAAACACCAAATTTATGCCAAGAGACATAGAAAGCTTGGTGCCAATACCTTTACAGAATCTTAAGAGCTTTAGAAAGTGGATCCACGGGGAGGGATAGCTTTGATCTTGTAGATTTTGCTTAAAATACCTTTTAGAGAAATGGAGACCTGCTGCAGGCTGAGGGAGCTCTGCTAGCAAGTTTTGATGGAATCAGATTTTAATTTACTGTACTCAAGGCAAGGAAGGCTCTGTTTTGGAAAAAGCACCAAGTTCAACAATTTCAAAGAGCCAAGTTTAGAAGTCAATGTTCAAAAATACGGCAGAGACAAGGCTTCTGACATTACAGTTTTTTATTTGTTTTTGAGTCCACGATCTATACAGGTATTTACAAGGCATGGAAATGGATAACAGCACAAAATACAATTGAGGTATAAGCTAAGAGCACAGTATGTCATGTTTCAATAAATAGAATTCAAAATTTGTAAACTAAGTGACCAGATAGATGCATCTTGTCTACTAAAACCATATAAAATATCTGTTAAATCTCACGTGAGGTAGAGGACAGTTTTGTGTGTCATGTGATGCAACCACAGCAACGCTGACAATAAGACTGTACATCATTGGCAAAGTATTAAAAATTGCTGAATGCACTGATCATTTTTCACAGGCTTTTCCTATGGTTTCAGAATTGTCACTCAACCTGTTGCCTTGAGCTAACACGGACTCAGCTGTTTTGCAGCTACTTTCTGTCATTTGAGAGAATTATACTGGCATGTCAACAGCAATAAATACTTTAGAGAGTGAGGATGAAAACACACAAAAAACATTCTGTCAATCACAGAAAGCAACGTGATGGCAAAGAAATATTTCAGACCAACTTTTTATTATTTCCTAGAATTCATTTAAATACAGTACAGCTGTGCTTTCCTTTCAGTGAGGTATCTCTTAGAAGAAAAAAAATTCAATTGATATCGTTACACTTAATTAATTTTCAAATAGCAAAATTTTATACCATGTTTGCTGTGCTTGATGAAGTGCTTAAAACTCATTTTTCAAGCATTTTCCAACTGAACCACTAACCCTGAAAAAAACCATTTGCAAGGTAAGGGAGACACACTATAAAATCATCGTGCAATTTGTAAGCAATAACTGCTTTAACAAAAGCTAAAAAATGACTGTATTTTTTAAATAGATTTATGCAGCAAATAGAAAATTCTACAAGCTTTTTGTAAAGAAAACCAATGAACACTCACACTACAAATGTAATGAGCAAAAAGAAAATAGAAATTTGCAGCTTTCTGCTGCTTACTATCAATGGCTTAAATATAATTACTGAAATATTGCAAGCACAGATTAACAGGTAGGAGAAATTACAACTTTTGTCAACTTAACCATGTTATAGAAAACTCTGTTGTGTGGATTAATTACACAAATTAAGTGCAGAAAAAATACAAAGTTGTTATCTTTACTGACAATCAAAATATATACTCTACAAACAAGTGAATTCTAGGAAGCTGACCATGACAGCATTTCAAGGTCAACTTCCCAACTAATGCTAGGAAAGGTTTCCAAAAATGTCATAACACATTCTAGCTATCCCCTCCCCTAATACAAAACAAGAGTTCATGAATAAAACATTGTGACTTCTAAAATACAGGCCAAGACTTATTTCTTTTCAGGCCAATCAGTAGCTTAATGCTCCCACCCAACTTTTCCTACATCACTAATTGCATTATGCCTTTACTATGTACAGATGGTTTTACACCTAAGCTATCAATATATTAAATATAGAATAAAATTATTAGTTTAAGAATGTGAAACATAACTACATTCATCTAAATACTCCAACTGAATGATATGCTTTACAAAAACTAAAACACAGATTTAACTAAGTTTGGACATTTAGATAAAAATCTCTTTCGTTGAGGGACACGTGGTTACACTGTGAGGTGTTTCCAGACTGCCAAAATTACAAGAGTTTTATCCTCTAAGCTCTCATATTTTGTTGATTAAAGTACACAAAGTGTGTTAAAGTTCTCTTTTATAAAAGTATAGGTATTCATCTCCAATCCTACTTATTCCAAAAGGTGCACTAGGCAATTCCATCTTGGTGTAGGTGTTTAGGAAAGCAACTTTCAAATTATAGACAATTTTAGGGCTTTGTTCTACAGGCTTCATGTTACAACTACCTGGGAAATTTACTTCTTGCCTGAAAAGATCAGCAAGCAATGACTGAAGGCAAACCAAATACATAAAATGAGCATGCTGTGACTAAAAGCAAAGACCTAATGACTGATTTAGTCTCTACCATTAAGTGTGCACTTAAGTAAGGGCCCTCAAGTGTGCATTCCAAGTTCCTATGTCAGGCTGTAAAATGAACCATTCAACAGAAATAGGATAAGGTTGCAAAAAAAGGTCAACATATATTTTTTCTAAAACTTAAGAGCATTATTTACAATTTGCTAAAAAACTATCTTTTGGAGACTGTGAGCACACAAAGGTCTATGGCACATTTATGTATACATTATTACTTAAAATCAGTATAAAATTAAGTCTACACATATGAAAATTGTTTATGTTACGTCAAGAGCCTGAAAGTATTATTTAAGAATTTTAAGAGGATTACAATAATTTAAAATGCATTCTAACTTTAGATTAACTAAATGGAATATTTACAAAGATACTTTTAAGGTCATTTTAATAAATGTTCCATTGGCTTTACCAGCCAGATGTTCAAAATAATCAGGAGGCCTTATCTGCAATTGGAATTGGTAAAACTTCCTATAGCTGCTGGAGTTCTTGCAACAGTGAAAATATTGGCACAAAGGATGGCCACCTTTTTATTAGTACAAAGGATGGCCACAGCATTTCCAGAGCCTCCAGCAGTGACCCAAGTGCTGACTGAGGCTCAGGAACCTGGGCAGCACCAGCCCTCCACGGCCACTGCTGAACAACTGCTGGCCAAGGGGAACATCTGAGCAGGACAAGAACACAGACAAGACCTGAATGGAAACAGAACATTCACTATCCTACTAACAGAATAATGCCAGGCTTCCAAACATCCAAGAGCTGAGCTATAAATGCTGTGGTGCAGCATCCACTGCAGCTGGGAGAAGGAGCTGTGGCTTTACTCACACCCACAGCCCGAGCCAGCCCTACAACACTGAGAAGCAACACAAAGAGACTCTGTCCATCCTTCAGCAGCACCCCAGGACCTTCCCCATTCCCAGCCCATCCAACACAGGATCTGCCAATCCCACTGCACAGCCCTGGGCTCTGCACCCCAGCCATCACACCCCCAGCAACCCCACGATGGGGTTGTTAGCTGGACAACAAAACATTGGTGGTGTTTTTTTTGCAAATGGTGCACACACAACCAGAACCATTTCGTCAGCACCTTTTTTTTCAAACCAAGCTGCAAAGATAGGCCTTTTCCTTTTCAGTTTGTTTTTTTTAGCTCTTTT